GCTTTTGAGTTATTGTGTTAGAGTTTTTGATTTAACAGTGCCCAGTAAACCAATAGGTGTTGAGATTGAGTGTGCTATTTCAAAGTTAAAGAGTTAAACAAGCGAAAAAGTTTTTTAGCTAGTCAGTTATCAGATTAAAGGAAAGCAAAGGAAGAAAGGAAATGAACTTACCTTGAAGAAGATTGATTGTATTGTATTAGTGTTAAAGAAAGTTGTCAAGCTGTTGTGTTGTTTCTTAGTGTTGATTTTGCTTGTTGCTGAGCTGCGTCGAAAACTAGTCGTGGAGTTGTCGAATTTAGGACTGCATCAAAATCACCAGCCTGCCTCTTGATTCAAGTCAATGCCGGGTCGAGCGGGTCCCGGGCTACATAGACCGGACCTGTGTGTAATTTATTACACATCGCCATAAAATCTCTGAAATTCGAAATTCACATAACTTTGTGTCACAACGTTGTGTAGAGTTGTGAGGGGTATCAGCGTAATTTGGCAAACCTTGCGGATCTGGCTATAAACTTTTAAAAAGTGTTACGGGAGAAATTTGTAGGGATAGAATTTGTTTAGAGTTGCTCTGGTCATTTTTGAACTGCAACAAAATTAAGGTTGAAGGCAGCGTAACAGCACCGTAGTTTCATCCGCTCTCACGAGTGGTGATTCTTACCTTCTCCGGCTCAGCCTACGCTACACTGCGTAGGAGTTCTACAGCGGCTGGGTCTTGCTATAATGTTATAGAATGAAATGTTCTGATAACGTGGATATTGGTGGTAGTATAAGATGACTATCTTTACTTTGGCAGAGGAAGTTGGTTGGGCCTTTGTTTCTATCTGGTTTAGATTAGTATTTTACTAATCATAGTCTATTGTAGCTTTGAATATAGTATCAACTGTAGTCAAGGGTGTTTCAATATCCATGCCTTAATGTGTTGCGGATGAGTCAAATACTGATCTTTATTTGATGACTTTGCCGGATGTTGTCTGGGCTGGATTGTGCCATCCATCTGTTGCTATGGGATTGTTGAAGGATAGGGTGTAAGATGGAATCGGAAGTTCTATTTGTCCAGGTATGATGAGAAGACACAAAGATAAGAGTGAGAGATTTGACGAGGAATAATTGATTGGGTAACTTGTGTCAAAGTGACAGTTCAAGTTAAAGTGTGAATGTTGGCTGCAGTTGATGAGTTCTTGAAATTATGATTAGGTTTTGTATCTTCCTATGCAATGGAAGCAGTAGTTCTGCATTACTACAGTTGACTTGTGGGACAAAATAGGTGTTGGGTTTTGTGTTTTTTTGAATTTGTGAATTTTGTAAACACAAAACTTGATTTTTGAAATTTTCATGTAATAACTGTGCCAAAGTGCCAACCAAGCAGTGAATTTCCGAACTGTAGTTTTGAAAGTGGTCAAAAGTGGCAGAAAGCGTTGTTTTAAGCCTAATGCAGGTACTTTCTGACCAGTATTTGAGTTGAATCTGATGTTTAATCTGGTTTTCTCAGTTTCTGACCCGAGGACACCTGTGGCGCCTACTCCCGTAGAGTACCAAAGCGATGAAACGCGGCGCTGTTTCATCTAACTCTGACCCGATACTCTGTGCTAGATCACTTAAGGTGATCTAGACCAAAAAACTACCCCCTCATAAACACTGTCCAAGTTCTTTTGAAGTCCTGAAAGTGTTCAATGTGTCATTCATATTCATTACCTTTGTTTTTTTTCTCATTTTCCATCAAAAAAAATCTTGAGTTTACACATCCGAAGGTTCTCAGATCACTCAGATTGATCTGAGAGCCTCCAGATTATTTTGAGAGTCTACAGATCGATCTGAGCCACTCAGATCAATCTGATGCCCACAAATCAATCTGGCTCTTTGAGATCAGTTTGAGAGTCCCAGATTGACCTGCCTCTGCAGATCAATCTGATAACTCATTGGAACCTGTATCAGGTCACCGTGTCTCAGGTATACCCAGACCCATCTGGCGACTTCGCCTTTTACCTCAAATAGAAGTACTTTGGTTCACTCATCTCTCTCTTCAACATTCACCATTCTCAACCTTGCCAGTCCTCAGAGGCCTCATAAGGGCGTGTGAAAACTTCCTCCAACCTGGCATACTTGCTGCAATCCATCCCCTTGTACACAAACGTTCTTCAAAAGAACTATCTATCTATTAATCTCGCAAGCCAATTTGATGAAGTGAATCGGAGTGAATCAACACGTGCAATTGATATGAATTGAATTGATCGAATGTATGTATTGAAGCATATCAAAACATTAAAATAAATCAACAATCGATTGGATTGTTGTGATTCAACTCAACACAATGAAATTGAGACTCAACGCAATGAAATTGAGTTGACCTTAAAAAAAGAATTGAAAAACATCAATCCATTACAAAAAAAAAATTCTAAAGACTGGATAAACTAAGAGAATGAGCCAAATCAATTTTTTAAATATCCTAATAAATTTGGGCCATTGCTATTTGCAGCCCACAAGAAAACCATGTAGGCGCTGTTTTGGCAGCGCCTACATGGGTGTTTCCCACGAAAAAGCGCCTACATCAACACCGCAAGCGCTACGCAACGCAATGGATTTCGACCTATTTCCATTGTGTTGCGCAGTCGGCGCATTATTACGCTACGCAACCACTCCGCAATGGGGTGTTTTTTTTCTAACTTGCCGTTGCGGAGCGGTCGGGCAAATATTGCGGAAAATGCGCAATATTGCCCTATTTCCGCAATATTTGCCCTAAATAACCGTCAAAAACCAACCGCAATTGCGGTGTGGGTTTCTGACCAAGGGGTTTTTTGAACCCGGATTGCGGAGCGCTGGCACCGCACTATATTGCGTTGCTATTGCGGCGCCCAAAAGCGCTACGCAACCGCACCGCAACTGCAACATAGTGCGGTGCTCTTGCGGTATTGCCTACATTTATGATGTAGGCGCTGAAAACCATCTAAAATGACGCCTACATGATAAACAACCCATGGAGGCGTCATTTGGTTACGCCTACATTCAAAATTTCAGAATGTAGGCGTAATTTTCAAGCACCTACATATCTAATTTGAAATGTAGGCGCTATTTTTGAGCGCCTACATTCAATTTCCAGGTCAAATAAGCGCCTACATGCAGTCTTGCATATGTAGGCGCTCCAAATCCAACACCTACAACTCCAGACTGGTCTGACGGCTAATGAAGAAGAAGTTTCAAGTTGAAATGAGAGTATTGGAAGACGGAAAAAGCAGTTCGGAGTTGAAATGAGTGTATCAGAAGATGGAAAAAGCAGCTTGGAGTTGAAATGAGTGTTTTGGAAGACAGAAAAAGGAGTTAAGCATATTGGAAGATGAATATGCTCTTTTCAACTCTGAAGTGAGTGTATCAGAAGACGTAAATAGCAGTTCAGAGTTGAAATAATCTACTTCTTTTTCCGCTTCTGATACACTCATTTTGACTCCAAACTGAGTTCAGAGTTGAAATAATTTACTACTTTTTCCGTCTTCTGATACACTCATTTTGACTCCGGAGTGACTTTTCCGTCTTCCGATACACTGATTTCGACTCCAAACTGATTTATCCGTCTTCTGGTACTCTCATTTTGAGTCCAAGCTGCTTTTTCCGTCTTCCAATACTCTCATTTTGACTTGAAAATTGTTCTTCATTACCCTTCAGACCAGTCTGGAGCTGTAGTTGCCGGATTTGTAGCGCCTACATATGCAGGACTGCATGTAGGCGCTTATTTGAGCTGAAAATTGAATGTATGCGCTCATTTTTAAAAATGTAGGCATAAATTTTGAGCGCCTACATTGGATTTCCCATGTAGGCGCTCGAAAATAGCGCCCACATTTCATTTTTTGAATGTAGGCGTAACCAAATGACGCCTACATGGGTTTTTTAACATGTAGGCGTCATTTTGGATGGTTTCCTGCGCCTACATCATAAATGTAGGCGCTTCTTCGTGGGAAACACCCATGTAGGCGTAATTTGGCCAGCGCCTACATGGTTTTCTTGTGGGCTGCAAATAGCAACGGCCTAAATTTGGGATTTTAACTACATCAAATAATGGTGATGAATCTGTTCAAAAAACTCTTCTCAATCAAATTCTTTAAACGTTTAATCTCTTTTGATCTTATTTATCCTTATTTCTTATCTTATTGAATTATTACTAAACAAGTCTTTCTTTAATCTCTTCACTGGATTTTCCTTTACCTTGGCATCTTGGTTTGATTTGATGGTTTATATGAATTTCCTGAAGATTATAATTTGGAGTGTTTAAAAGTGGTAAGAGATGTTCCAATCCTTCTACGTATGTAGTTTGATAGGTGTTTTCATTACACTCGATTCAATTTGATGATTGTACTCGACTTACATAATTCATTGAATTGAATCCTTTGAATCAATTTTAAATGTACACGATTCATAATTTTGTTTTATAAAGTAATCAATTCGATGAATGGATACGAATTGATCTGTCAATTCATTGAATAGATCATCAATAAAGAATTGAATCGATATGAATTAATCCTTGAAGTGAATTGATAGTATTAGATTTGAACAAATTCATTAATTGAATTGATTCGATTCTTCAATTCATTTGTTCTGAGTTGAATTATATCAATCAGAACCATTTCCGAATTGGATTATACCAATCAGAATTGTCATTGAATGACTTGATTCCTCTTGATCTCTCTTGATTCATCAAATGATTGAAATGGTTGAGTTCAAGTGATGAGATTGGAACCATTGCAACTCGCATCAAATGTTAGACAGAATTTTGATAACTTGACAGAAAAGAAGCAAACAATTTGTAACTTATTGTATCAGAGACATGTACAGAGGTCAGAAGAGTCAAAAATATAGCTTGACTGTTTGTGTTTGACTAGATCAAGGACATCTACGAAATTTCGAGGTACAAAAAGGGAGGTGTAGTCAAAAAGAGATGTAAACAAGTTATTATAACTGGTCAATTGTGATTAAGTGAAACTTTTTAGAGTATTTCAGTCCGACTCTGGCTCAGTCTAAGATGCTGTCTCGTACTCGGAGGATTCATCATCATCCCGGCGACTCTTCTTAGCTGGTTTCTTTGATTTCTTTGATTTATTTTTCTTCAATGATTCACCATTTTGTGATTGACTTTGATCAGAAAGGGTTTGAGTTTGAGAGATAGATTGAGACTCCACTTGATCTGAAGTTCCTTGATTTCGGGTGTGATCTTGAGTGGTTACAGGGGATGCTGCGTGTGGTTGAGTTGATTTCGATTTATGTTTTTTACTCGATTTGTTCTTGGTTTTTCTTTTCAATGTAATCATTTCAGAAGCAGGAATCTTCTCAATAGTGAAGTGTCCATTTTGAATATCGCTGAGCCAGTTCTTCTTTAGTGCATCGTTGCAATCACGAAAACGCAAGGCCAACTCTTCTGGTAAGAGTAAACTTTCTGGTTGTTTAAGATTGAGTCGGACTGGCCAATGTTTGTCCGCAATCAATTCGAAAGGATTCCCTGTTTTTGGGAAGATCTTACCAGGCATGTGTATGTCTTGTGTTGTAAATTTGGCACAATAATGGTTAACTGCATGGAACATTGTCATTAGATGAATTTTGCCAAAAATGACTTACTTAGCATTTTATTGAGCGCTCTAGTCAGTTCACCCCTGCGTGCGTCAACAGGTTGAGGTGCCTTCTTCTCGATTTCCTGAGCCACTACCTTGCCATGGACATAATACTTCAACTTTGTTGACAGTTTCAAATTATCATCATCCCACGTCAAGAATGTCTTTTTGGTTGAAAAAACTTGCATCCAGCCATGTTCAACATCGCAGCTGAGGGCAGTCAGGTGATAGTGAATGTGGAAACGCTGGCACACTGTGGCAAACTATATATTTCATTTAAGTAACGGAAGTTTCAGCATGGAAGGAAACCTCTTACATCATGATGAGCGGCTCGAAATGCTGCTAAAGACTTGAGCTGCATAGTTTGCATTGAGTCGGTTGATTCTGGCTTCCCGTGATTGGCATGAACTTTATTAATATCTACCAGTTCTTTGAAGATTGGTCGATACTTTGACTCGTCCCTTTCGGATAACTGATGGATCTTTGGGGCTGATACTTGGGCTGCTGGATTTTGTTTTCAATTATCTTTCCATCGTCATCTTCCAGTTCAACAACACGATCTTCATTTGATAACGATAAATCCGGAAGCTTGGCTAAAGCAAAGAAGAACGGGTCCCGAAAGACCATCTGTTGTTCAATACTTTTTGCATTCCACATATTGCTCAGCATCTTGTTGCATCCAGCTTGATCGGTTTGCGGAGGAACTAAATTGAAACCAATAGATGATAGAGTAGCAGTTGTTGGCACAAGACAAGACAAATATTGATGAAAATGTCCATCACATACATCACATACCTTCAACCTCAAGAGCCTGCTTGGCAAAGGACAAAAATCAAACATAACAGTTTTTTTTTTTTTTCTTCGGACCTGCATCACTATGAGTACTTTCAATTGGTCAGTATACAAATTGTAAACGAATCCAAAGAGGACAAACTTACACAAGTGACCATATCATAGTCTTGCTTATTCCACCGATAAGTGCAGCCATCAACATGTGTTTCTCGTAGTCCCGCCGAATTAACTTGACAAACGTCTTGATCTCACGTGGAGCTTGATTTTTGTGTCTAGAAGTCTCCTTTTTTGGTCAGTAAGGGCGTTCCTAAGCTCTAAAAGCATCCACTTGCCAATTTGTTCCTCGACGTTATCGAAATTCAACGCAGGGAATTTAGAAGTGAACTCGGCCTGATTTTTGTCAACATTCAAGGCAGGAATTTGTGAGTCTGGTGCATCGCGATTGAGATCATCGTCTTGCTGATCGAGTGTGTTGTTTTGTTGACCTCCTCTAGCTCGCTTTGGAACTCGATTGCTGGAATTGGGATGGTTTTGAGCACTAGTCTTGTGATTACTACGTGCTTCAGTAGCAGGAGCCGCAGGAGAACGGAGGCGTTTACCAGATTGTGTGGGCATGGATGGTGGTGATGTGATGATGTGAGGTGAAAAAAGGAGAATCGGTTGGAGTGCTGGCTTGATTGTTGTTGATATACTACAATGAAGTGCTTGGCTTTTGAATATTTCCAATATACATATGTACATATGTGTTTTATATCATTCAAGTTAAAGGAAGACCGTGTTCGGCGGCAAAACTCCCAAAACTCCCAATTCCAATTCCGAATTTCGAGGTTTACGCGTCCCAAACAATTAAATCCATGTCGACGTGTGTGGTGCAACTCCAAATCATCCATTCCCATCTTTGATCTTCACACCACGAAATCAACTCAGAACCACCCTCACGTACCACGGAGTCAACCTAACCTGCATGAACATTTACTTACACACAATCAATCAATGCACCTCTGATTCCAACTGCTTATTTCTGCAAACCTTTTTTCAATTACTCCTGGGTATCCTCAGATCATTTTGACTTCACATAACAACTCATCCAAAACCTAAACTCACCTTTGATCTCACGATTCATTCAACCTTGAATCTCTTGACTGGAACAAAAAGTATCTTGATTAGATCAACATTACATCGTTTTGATATTGTAGATGTCTTTATTATAGGATGTGTGGATCGGGTAAACAAAAGCAACCATCAGGTTTATTGGTTTATTTGAACAATCTCAACAGGTAACGGTTCACCCTTTTTGACTTTGCTTTGAACTGTTTTAACTCAGAACTATTCCTTCTGTTTAGCTCTTTATCAATCTTATCAAGACAATCTCGATCATTCCAGCGGCTTGAGTACAAAGCTTTCTAGAGCAAGGGATCTCAAATATTAGTGATCAGGGATCATAACGGAGTCGTGTTCCAAACCTTGATCACACGTCTACAGGATCAACGTTCAAAGGCCAACAAAATTGGAGATCGGATTCTGAACTCTGCTCTCAAATGGGGAGACACAAAATCTCTTATTGGTCAATCTTTTGAACGTAAGATGGGTCTTTTGTACACATTGCTCAAACAAAGAACAGTACGAGAAATCAACATATTTCAAGTTTTTTTGAGCAAATCCGTTCAAAGCGAGCTGATTTTAAACGTCATTATTTACAAGCCTCAGTACAATTACAACAATATATCATTTTTTTGAATAACTTACAGAGTAAAACACCGGAACAACTTGAAGATCGCCCATACATTGAAACAGCGATAGAAGTGATTGAGCGATAATGTAAAGACACAATATTATCAGTTGAACTTCAACGTGCTAAATTGAATCTGATTAGACTGCATGACCATGGCTTCAAAAGTTCTGATTTATTAGCCATCACTTCTCTTGAATCCCTTGAAGAATGCGAGAAAGATTCAATCCATATCCTCCAAGACATTGCCAAACGTTAGTGGTTGTATCATGTTTCTCAATTTGATGACATTTCATCTTTGCGTATTGTATCATCTCTGATCATCTTTCTGCTCATTAGGCGTTGATGCCACACCCGAGCGAAATCATGAAGCTCATCAATTAAGAATCAATCGTAGACAATCTCAGATTCCTGTCGATAACTCCCAGCTACAGAAGCAAAAGACCACTAAATTCAATCGTCTCATATATCTACTGGATCGCGAACTCGATTTCTGCCGTTCCGGTGAGATGATTGCATGGCCCGATCACATGGCCCATCAATCATCTTAAAGTTGATATATGGCTCAAGGACGATGTTATCTCAGCCGTCAAGAATAGTCAAATGAGACCACTCAGAAAGACTGTAAGATGCTATGTTACAACACTCGAAAGCTGCAGAGTGAAGACCAGTAACATCCTCAAGGTTGATGGTCAAATTGGCGGTCATCTCATGCATTATAGATTCATTAATTTGATTGAGTTCAAAAACATATCAAGCTTGAATATATTAGAATCAATTACAAAAATTGTAATCAATCCATTATAATTCATATTTCAAATTCTTTCAAGCTATATAATGCCCCCACATTCCCCCCAAACTCATTCTCAACTTCTCTTCTTCACCCCAATTGAGATACTAATCCTTAATTTGAATTCTTTGTCTTCAGTGATTTACTATCAGCACTTGGAGAAGAACTTCCATGGCCATTATCAAAAAAAGACCCCGTAAATCCAACCCATTCAAGATTGACTCGGATTTTCAAATTGTTTCAAACCTTTTGTCAATTCCAAATCAATTCATTCAAAATCTCTTGCCTTTTTCCCAAATTTGCTCACTTACTAACATCGATTCTCCTTTCGTTTGTATATGTATAGATCAGAGAATCTTCATGAAATGATTTGTCTGTCTTCTAAAAAACCGATTGATTTGGATCAGGGAATGACTTGGTTTCCATTGTCTAATTTAATTTGAATCAAAGCAATTGTAATATCTGTTGACCTTGGGTTTAGGTATCATTTCAATAGTCAAAGACCTATCAATCAATCAGACATGGTAAATATCAACCTTTTGAATTGAGTTTATGTTTTATTCATTTAACTAATTGCTTGGCTTGGCTGTTTGAACAGACTGGATGTTATTTTGATCATAAGAAGAACATGAATGTTTCACAAGATAAGATATCCAAGATCTTATGAATACCAATGGATATAATCACTTAGATGTGATTGTAAGTCCATTAACACAAATCCACAACAAGAAAAAGAGTCAAAATGAATTCAGGAGTTTTGTATTTTTCTCTTACACAAAATCATCGAGTTTATTAATTGAAACAACCAAAAAGAAATCAAAAAAAGTATACCACAAGTCTTAGGAATCAAAGTGATTTCAGTGCATACACTTTATCAATTGATCAAATTTGATTTCCCAATCCAAGGAAGAAGACTTCAACCTTTTCAAAATCAATTCTAGATTATTGTTTCAAAATTATGGGGATTCAAATTGCATTTGAATCACAATATGGATTGATTGGATTAATTAGATCTTGAGGATCAGTAAAAGTTTGAGGAAATACAAGTAGTTTTAGGATTAGTCAAGTTGCAGTTTAAAAATTGATTAAGGTTTTTCTTAGGTGTGAATGGATGTTAAGTTTTTTTAATCAACGGAATGATGATCTTGTAAGTTATATTTTCTTTACATTAATCATATTTGAATTCTGGTTCTTTTTTTGGCTTAGTCTTATTTTGATGAAATTAAATTAAAAAACACTTCATCTCATGGTACATAGATGGACACTATCATTGAAGAAATTGGATTAAATGAAACTTGTACATAACTTTTGTATTCATTATTAAGAAATTTGAAAGCTGTTTAAAAAGATGTGATAGTAGGCTCATTATAGATTCAATTAGTTCTTTCATCAGACAGCAGTCAAAACTTAAATTTCAAACTTGGAAAACATTAAGTTCAGATCTTTCATCTTTTTTTTGCTCGATTTTTAGGTTTGATTTTTAGACAATGCAATTTAGAAATCAGTATTATGACAGAGGACAAAGAAGAAGACTGTTCACAAAACTTGAACTTATCACCAAAATCAATTTGACCTTTGATAATCTGGACTCATTTGATTAAATCAAAAAGTACATTAACTCATTGAAGAAAACAAAAATCATATCTGAAAATCAGTCAAGAATCACCTAATTTAATTGTGAATCAAACTATTTTCACCAAGATGGCAATTAGATCTATGACTTTAGATGGAGGTCATCAATCAAAGTCTGATGTTGAAGATGCTGGATTAATACAATAAAAGAAAATCTAAAGGTTTGTAAAATTTGTGGGGAATTTTTTTTGATGCTATTAAGCTTTTATCTATAGAAATTAACCTGAACAATCAAAGTGAAGAGCAATGGAATGTTATTAAAGTTTGTGGAGTTGGGGATTGATTGGAATGGATTGAGTAAAGATGAAGTTTTTGCTGTTTTATGAAGAAGACCTGAGGGCGCGTTCACTTAAGGAATTTCTGACCAGAAATCACATTCTGTAAAATTTTTAATGCAAAAATGAAACATACACCACCAAATGGACACTTTAAATTTTGCAGAATGTGATTTCTCACCAGAAATTGCTTAAGTGAACGTGCCCTGAGTGTTGGAGATAATTCAAAAAAAATGTTTTCTATGTATGGGTTTTTTCTGTTGGAAAGTTTGAAAGAGTTTATTCATTGATTTGATGGTTATGTGGAGGTTCTTTTTGGTTTTGGAATTAAAAAGGTTTTATTCATACACACTGAAGAAGAAGAAAATGAAAATGAAAGTATTAAATGAAAACATCATAGATAAAAGTCTTGAACATATTCTGTTGAAGTGACAAAAAACAAAGACAGACTCTATGGTTATTGTTGGTTGTGATTGCAAAATTCTTTACCCCAATTGGTATGTACACATCATTGTGTTTCTTCAGGGAGATATGTTTTTGGGGTTAGGTGTTTATAGTAATCTGTTTCATTCGGGGAGTCCAAGTGGGCCAAAAAATGAAAGTGCTTGAATATTTTTGTACTTTGACCCCCCAGGTTCAAAATCAATTTTTTTACAAAAATAATGCTAGTATGTGCTCCTCAGGCTGGGCTTTCTGAAAGTTTTTGAAATTTTCAAGATTATAAGCAGCATTTCAAGGTAGGGATAGTTATATTTTAGGCATTTTTCTCACTTGAACTGCCCTATTGTCCTCTGCTTTGTGTGTCAAAATTCTTGGCCTGAGTTGTGAGATATGAATATGTATTGGGATGTGTAGTATTTTATAAAAATATCAATGTGTAATGTGTGTGTGCCTGGGGCTGTGTGAAAGTTTGCATGGAAAGATTCCAGGGTAGGTGGTGGATTAAACAAATGCCCACCAGAGAATGGTCTCAATTCGTCGAATGAATTTAACATGATTCAATGACGCGGCGCCCGCCGCTGATCTGGCTAGTACCTATGTATATAAAACTTGTATCAAGTAGGATAGCATCCAACTTCAATTGACTCGACCTTTTTGACTCAGCATCACAATCTCCAGCCAAATGCTGTATGACTGAAAATCAGATCACATCACCTCAAACCGCTCATACTGTCGTACTACTCACTGCACAGCTATTGAAACAGCGACTATCATCACCTCAAAGATTCTCATAACGGTGGTTGGATCACTGCCATTGCCACCTCCGCTGACAATCTGTAAGGGAAAGTACCTTGTCTACTATGCATACTTTTCGAAGGCTGACTTGACCTTTTGATCTATTCCTTTCTCAGCAACATGATCTTGACCGCTTCCAGGGGTTTGTGATACTTTCATCAATCTCATTTTTTTATTCAATTTATCTCCTGCAATGTGGATACGGTCATCTACACTGTATGTATCACCACTTGATTATGGATTCGGATTTTGACATTACTTGAACAATCAAAGGTTGTAAAACCTACATAATCATGATTTGCTTTATGGTAATCACATATGCACATACATTGGTGAGACTCTTCAATAATTGTATATTCCTTGAGAAAAGGATTGATTGAAGCAGTTTGATTGAAAAACAACAAAGTCATCAAAGTTTTTGCCACAAATGGCATGTGGCTCCCAGATTTTAGAAATTGATTTGACACGTACACTTTGAAGTTGTTTCAGGCTTGTTTTTATTATAACCATACTATGTAGAAAAAACTGCCCGTTTCTTTCATAAGTTTCAACGACACACCAACAGGGTGTTGAGGTTACAACCTATGATAAAGTATATAGAATGTAGCATTGAGGTTACAACCTATGATAAAGTATATAGAATGTAGCATTTAGCATGTTTGGATTTGATTTAAATGGTTCATTGTGAATTCTGGAATGGGTCTATGACACTATTTATCATGAACATCTTATGTATAAAAACCCCTGAAGGTTGATTTCCTGCCTTTGATTGACAAACAAATAAGTTATCAAAGGTTTTGTGACCCAAATGGTGAATAGCATGCAGGTACCTGTTTTTCAATTTTGACTTCTATGGTGAACTTAGAAGTCAGCTGGGGGTGTATTCTTCTTCTCAAATACTATATTAATATTAAAAGGTCTCACAACCATTTACTTGAATCCCAAATTTGATTTTGCATTTATGAGAGCTACATAGTATTTACTATATGATTTCCAAAAATCTTGATGATATTTGTGGTTTTCCATTTGACTTTTTCGATTAGGCAGCAGTTTGTATTCTAGGATACTTGATTAAATCACATTTCAAGAATATGAGTGCCACCAATTTGCATGTAATGACTTCATTATGATGCAAAGCGCTAAAGCTGTGATTCCATCAGCTGGGCCTTTGTTTGTCAAAGATGGCTACTGAGTGTGCTTGAGGATGATGGTATCATCGTACATGAATATTGATTGTTTTAATATTCTATCTGGATTTCATATGTCTCCACTTTGATAGGCCAATATGTGCTTGAATCGATTTGGATAGCCCAATTTCCGCTTTCGTAAGTACCATGTATCCCTATCCCAATTTGGTAAGACCTCATTGCTCTGTGATATATGTTGAATCGAATTCAATCAAATTTTGTGTTAGCCGTCTACTATCATTAGTCCACGCCAGCAAAAACAACACAAACCAACAATTTCAAATCGATCAAACGAGTGCGAGTGATCTGTGCCAAGGAAGAGTTTAAACATGTTCCTACGTTTTGTCAGTTTGATTCATATCGGGCTCATTACTCTAAAACTGGAACCAATACTTAGTGATATCATAATCAACCCGGCATGGCCTTACCAGCGCGACCAGTTTGATCATCCAAGAAAAGGAAAACTAAAAAGATCAAGAAAACTGCATTAGGAAACAAATTAGATGAGCAGAATTCACAAGAGGCAAAAGCATCTGCTGCAATTATGGCCGAGCTTTTGGGTCAGAGTTTGTCAAGTAGAAACGAAGAAATTCAAAACGAAGATCATCATACATATGAGGGTGGCCACCAGAACTCCGTTTGGACAGATGACAAAGATGACGGGAATGAGGAAGGAGAACTACGTTGTTATGTCTCCTTCAGAGACCGAACTGAACGGGAACAAGCGCAAATGCAAATCGCTGCCCCATTCATATTTCGCAAATTCATGAAGTATTCCAAAATAACATATCAATGGGGAGATGAGGAAAGTTGGAATCGAGACTGGAAGGTGAATTGTAAATGTAATACTGCCAAACGAGAACGGACAATTGACATTGTTTACATCACTAGTCAGATTCCAATTCTTCTCGATAATCAAGCACCAAGACAGGTTACTAACTTTTTTTATCAATTACTTGATTTTGTATGACCCAGGTCGAAAGAAAATCAATGTCGTCTTCTGCTCGTGCCAGTTGGACTCTGTTCAACTGGTCCAGATGGGTTTAATTGGATCAACCGCCAAGAATCCTGTGACCACATTTTCCATTCGACTATTACGGCTTCATCATCTACTATGGAAACTATGTTGTGTCCAAATCAGCCCCTTCTGCCTGGCAATTGATGAATACCTGGATGCTCGAAATCCAATAATAACCTCGGCAGACGGCGTTCGAGTAAATCAAGCTTCAAAACTTCATTCCATCAGTTGTGAGTGAGCTGATGCATATGTACCTGTGTAGCCTTGAGAGTGGAGAAAACCTTTTTCAGCAGCGGTCAATGTTTTTTGCAAGATGTTACGTCTTGAAGCAGAGCTCAAAAAGAAAGCTCTCAAACTCACCTCACTGCAGCAACTGGCGGCCAACTGCCCTTGCTGCTTTGGACCTCGAGTTGAAGGGAAAAGAGAGGCCAAACCAGACTTCATTGTCTGTATGGACGGCAATTTCCAACATCGCCGCCATAAAGCTGCCAGTGCTACATGGCGTGAGATATAAATGTTACCCTCATCATTTCTTCCTCAAGCCGATGTCGATAAGTGGGATGATTGTAATCGGCCATCTAAAAATACAAAGAATAAAGATCCAATTGGAAGTTTTGAACACAAAGTCACTATATACATATCAGTCTAACTCTTGACTTCTCTGTTATCTAGGATCCGTGTACGGCCAGTCATACCGCAGCCAATGATGCTAGGGGTAACCAAACTTGGCGCGCTTGTGACGAAACAGGATTGTTTGTGATGGCCTGTCGGCATGACCACTTGTTGAAATTCATCAACATCGTACAGAGTGGTGAACGGTGAGTGAATTTCAAGCACTATTCAATGTTTTCATTAAAGTACAAATCGCTTGTACAAAATCTCACAAAATTGTACTTCTCATCCGTATTCAATAGGGGACACCTCCCGGTGGCCATGATTGACTGGTTGATGAAAGAATTAGATACTTCATTAACAGATCTATCATACAACACTACAAAAAATATAATGTTTTCTGGGCAGAAAACACAAATATTGATATACAAAAATATTGGGCAGTCAGGAGGAGGGCAAAAAATACAAAAAAATATGGCTGTTGTTCCTGGTGTTGAGAGCTTCAATCTGAGTATTTTTTTGTATTTTTAGAGTGCATATTGTTGAACGTACTAACAAAAAACCCCATATTCATCAGATGTACACCTGTAACAGATGCTGAAATTTGGCTCCTCAGATTGGAGAGGACAATTTGAAATCTACAAATGCTCATACCTTTTGCAATTGGAAAGTAAAACACTCGATTATTGGTTCATTAGAAAGCTAAACTCTGTCTCCAGATCTTTCATTAAAGTCATGGGGCTGTGTCCAGCTTTGCAAAGAATCTATGTGGCTTTGAAGAAGATATTTCAAAGTGACTATAGCTACCTTGTGAGAGACAATGAAGCCTTGAATCATTATTAAGACAATTACAGAGAGGCTGTGGCTTTCT